CTCTCTCTCTCTCTCTCTTTCATCCGCGATTGCTTTCGAACAATTTTATATCAGACACAATTGGATGTATAGATGAGAAAAACTGGTTCCTGTAATTGGAGAAGGACTAGATGGAAAGTCGGTCGAGACGACTGAGAACAATTAACTAAGAGCAATTGAACGAGAGGAACCTCTTACAGAAATCTTTCTGTTCTTACAACTGAGTGTCTGTTTGATATCTAGTTACATGTGTCTAATTAGAGTATCTAGATACTTTCGTAGATTCACTTGGTGCGAGGGAAATTTCACGCGAGTTCGACCGGCATGAAATCGAAAAGGAACGAGCCGAGAAGGAGGAGGGGGAAGTCTGTCGAAAATAGGGGGAAAATCGCGATACCGGATGCGCGGATTGAGCCACTTATCGGCGATCTTAATGACGATGTGTCGCCCACCGACAGATAGGCGAACCGTGTCGCAACGTTCCCTCTCGCTCTCTTTCGCTGATTTATCGGCGTGCCCTCGAATTATATGCTGCTGCTCGCGCGGCTTTCACCGACGACGAGGACGTCGTGCTCCTTTTGTCTCCTCAAAGGGAGGTTTCGACACCGGCCGATTGTCTTCGCTTCTAATCGCGAGTATCGCGTGTACATATCGATATGCGTAACGACGGCGTGCCTGCGCGCGCGCGCTCCCTCGTGTCCGTTTTATCGCGGTCGTAACTACTTCGCCGGGGAATGCGTGCCGTCTATAAAAATCGTCCCGCAATCCGATCGGCGACACGACGACGTCGACCAACGCGATCGGCTTCTCGTTGAGATTCGTTTGAGATCCGTCGGCCCGTCCGATCGGCCTGTTTTAACACTCGTTACACGTGAAACATATCTCACGTGCCATACTCGGGTCTGAATTTCACATTAGAATTCTTGAATTTCTTAGTTGAAAGAGAGAGAGAGAGAGAGTCGTTTGATATACTTGATTTATTTGTAATCGCAGTTCAATTATAATAAAAGTAACAATATAATAAAAATAATTCTAATGAAGAAATAATGAAAATAGTTTCACGTCCAACTTAAAATTCAAATCTAAATATTTGATTTGGGACAGGTTGAAATAAGTAACGGCTACTTTCAAGTAAATTTCACGTAACACCTTGAATGCCTTGACAGTCACCAGTTATATAGACAAAGGAACAGAAATGAAACTCGCTTCTTATTGCAATAGAATTTAAATAAATAATATTTTTTTAATATACTTTTATATAGTCTATGCAGATGCACAATTTCAATTCAGTATTCGGTTATTACATCAGAAGTAACGGGTAAAATATTATCGACTTTTCACGAATTCATCAATCTTTTAAAATAATAAAAAGAGGGAGAAAGAAAAGTTGGTGAAGATTAATAAAATAGCAACAGGTAAACAAAAACACCACGGAAGTGTTTTTTATCGCAACAGAATTCGATATATTTACCTTCCCCTCTCTTTAATAAAACGACGTGAAAACTATTTAATACGGACCCTACGAATATAGATATTTTACATAAAAGATACAAGACACGTACATGTTTTGGGAATTATATTTATTCCCCATATATTTGACAATTCAATCATCGGTTGAGTCAGTGGAAATGAACGTGGCGACATGCCGATGCGGAGATCGAAATTTCGATTTGTCAGGGATCGAGAAGGAATCACGATGAAGAGTGGAGGAAGCTGGACAATGAATTCCCAGGATCCACGGTTAAGCACCGCTTCGGACAGCTTCGCGCGTTGTCGCCGTAAATTCTCGATTTCGCGCCGAGTTCCCAGGCGTTCCGTTTTCTCCACAGTTTCCGTCCACCGCTCGGCGGTTTCTCTCCTCCTCGAAACCGGCCGGTCGCGATTAGCGCTCGCAATTTACGCGCGGAAGCCGCGCGACGCGCGCTCCAAATGATTTATACGCGCTCCGTCTCGGCGTACGTGACGCGTCGTTTACCACCCGCTCCGCGGCGAAGATTAATTAACCCCGTGGCGTTTCGGGGAGAAACGCGCTCCGCCTCGGGCGCCTCGGCGGGGGCGGTTTCTTAATCCAATTTCGTGCTGCATTAATCTAATTACGCTTAGGCATATGCACGTGACGTGCAAGTATGCCGGCCGGACCGCTTTCGCAATGCCGCTCGGCGCCGGGACGTCGCGGAGGAGCCGGCGAGAAACTCGTCTACAGGGTGTCCCGGAAATCACCGGCCGATACACCGGGAATCTTTCAGCCGGAGCTCTTCTTGTACGTTTCTTACGCGTTTGAAATGAAACGAAAACCGGCGAAAAGCGCGTGAAAATAGCGAAATGTGTCATTTTTCAACGTTTACGCGTGTATAAATACCGCGCTTGGTCCGCAAGTAAATCGAACGAAAGCTCAATGGCGAGGAACGTTTCGGAACTTTCGCTCTGGCTCGGTAGCGCAGCGCCAAGTTTCACATTAATTACATCATCGATTCGCGCGCAGTCTCATAATAGGGACCGTGCTCGCGTCCAGATGTAACCGCGGAAGTTCACGCGCGCGCTCGCTCGCCCGCGCGAAGAAAGTAGTATCGGAGGGACCGGGGCTAGAGAGGGAGGAGGAGAGAGCGAGTGAGGAAGAAAGAAAGAGAGAGAAGTGAGGGTTGAACGAAGGAGTATGTCGAATAACTTCCTAGAGGCGCGCCTGTCACGAAGCCCCGGGTCATTGGTCACCTCGTTCTTATCTCCCTGTGTCTGCGGCCCATCTTGAAGGAAGCTTATGCGCAGAGAGCCGTAGCACGGCTTCACCGTAAGCGGAATTAATCCATCCTACCACCTTCGGGACTCTAGAAGCCGGTTTCTTCGGGAAAATTCCGGGATTTTCGGCCGACGGGAAAGGACGATCGCGAAGACTCGCGTGCGAGAAAAAAGAAAGAACGGTTGAATCGGAAGAGCGCGCTTGGTAAACCCGATTGAGCCGGCGTGCATCGGGTCAGCTGACTTCAGCATAACGCGGTAATCGGAGTTTACGGCAGGCGGGTAAATTTAACGGCGAGATGAGTTTACGCCTCGGGGGAAGCACGGAGCCTCGAGGTGTTCTCCTCATCCTCCGGCTGCTTCCAGACGGCACGTTGAAATTTCCGCGTCGATGTCGGCGTGTACGGCTGTGTATGGAAGCGATTGGCCCGTGGAATCGTTTAATCCGGGCCGAGAGGAGCAACGCTCGCCGGCCACGAGTCACGATCGTTTACTTTCCTCCGGGACGAGAGAGATTCCCTTTGGAGAGAAATCCGAAACAATCGTCCGGGCACGCCCATCCACGTACACCTCTACGTACGCTTTGTTGCGCGCGCTTCTCGTTAGGTAACCGGTAACAATGTTTCGTCGGGCGCATATAGATAGATATCGTCTTAATGCAACGTAATAACCGCGAGGTATCTCAGTTATACGCGAGAGTTACCCCGAGAGCCTCGTCAAAGTCCCGGCCGGTGTTCGCCGGTATCTAGATAAAATTATCTCAATCATTATCCAGATGAATATATGGACCATCTCAATCTAGATGGGAGAAATGCAAAATACATTCGTCTTCGTCTTAGGAGAAAAGGAAACATTTTATTACGAAAAGTTACGTCACATCATTATTCTTCCTTTTTTCCGCTCGTTTCCGCGCGTGTACTTCATTCCGTTTCCCTTCTCGATTTCCCAGCAGCTCCCGGTCGCGAGTAACGATCTGGAAAGCAACGACGACGCACACCGGTACCCACCGGTACTGATTACCTGCCATTCGTAGTTTCGAGTGGTGACTACCCTCGCCGCGGAAATTATGAAACCGGTCCGTAATTGGAACTTGACTAATGACGAGTCGGGTCATTGCGTATATTATAGCCACGGATCGACATTAGATCTCTCTCTCTCTTGCGGACGCATCACGGAATCGCTTCTCTCGTCTTCTGCTCTCCACGTGGGAACGGATGCATTCAAAGTGCATCAAACGGAAGCGGCGGTGCCGAAAGGCGCAAGTACGTTCGTCTGTCGAAATTAACACGGTAAAGGCGGACACTTGCGGTGCGTTTTCGCAACGGAGATTAGTCGCAGCTGCCAGCGGCGGAGCCCCGAGTGCAAAATTATTATTATCGTATGTCGCTATATACGAGGAGGTGCGAGAGCGGGGCGTGCGAATAGATACTTTACAGCTTATAGAATAATCCGCAGTGCGAGATGATTAGAACCGATGTCTTTGGGTGTCGCTGAAATTCATTCGATACCTCACAGACTTTTTGCGTTACGTCGTACAAGCGATTTCGGCGTTTTTCCGGATCGCAAAATGAATCCATCGAGGTTTATAGTTATTTAACAAACACTTTTAGTCGAAGCTCTCTGTTTATTTCCTAAATATTTATTAGTGATTTATTATTTATCAGTGATTTGATTCAATAAGGAAGAAGCCCTCCACCAAATTGGACGCTGATAGGTTAATGAAGAAACGCCGGCGTTTGGAATAGATAATGATCGGATTACAACACACACGGAGAAAAATTTCAATTCCTACATTAAGAGGAGAAATATGAAAAAAAAAATAAAAAAAAACTTTCTTCGGTGGATACCTAATAACATATTTTTATTCATACTAATATACATGTTATTCTACTGAGAAAAAAATGTTTAATAAAAAAAATATAATTTTTTAAACTTGTAGCACGAAATCGATAGTTTATCCTATTTAAATAAAAGAATATATTTATTGCACGATGAAGTAAGTTAGCAGCCCGCCTTATTTTAGTTAGCTTTTAAGAAATTCGTTGGGTTAAAGGAAGAGGACGAAAGAGAATCAAGATAAGAATATCAGCGAAATTTGCATAATTAGTAAAAAATTGAGTCAACGAAAAATTGTGTGAAAAATATCGTCCTCGAGAAAGGAAGCGAATCCTTCTGACGAAGCGTTCTTCTCCGCAGATGGGGCATAGAGGAGCGACGCGCGGCCAGCAGCAGTAGCGCCGATCCATCGTCGGTGGGCTCGTCGGGCCGCGCGGGGGGACGCGGCGGCGATGGCCGCGACGGACGGGCAGATCGTCGTTGCGGCGGCGCGCTGGGCCGAGGAGGCGAGCTACCTGCGCGAGTTCGTCTCCAAGTACCGTCTGCCGGCGGTCATCAAGATCACCAAGGGCCAATATGGCGGGCTGGGCGTGCCGACGCTGCCGGCCCCGAGTCTGCAGAGCACGGCGCTCCTGGTGTCCGCCGGCCGTCGGCGGAAGATCGTCGCCCAGGCGGTGAAGATCAAGGAGGGCCGGAGGGTCGTCGGCGTCGGGCCGAGGCTCGCGATACCGGACTCCTACACCGGCTACTTCGAGATCCTCAGCGAGGAGGGGAGGGCGGTGCGCGGCATCGAGTCGGTGAGCGAGCTGTCGCGACGCTGCCCGGAGGAGGGCGCGCTGGTGCGCGAGACGCTGCGCGGGATCGGGTGTCGGGTGGACGACGGGATCGTCGTGCCGGAGGGCACGAGGACCCTGCCGGCCGGCGAGACGATCGTCACCGCCGGTGAGGTCGCCCTGCCCGGCCGGGGCCGTTTCCTCCGGTGCGTCGACTGCCGGGGCGACAGCGTGCTCCTGGGGATGGAGCAGCGCGGCCGGTTCAGCGCGTTGGCGCGCGAGGACAACATCAGCGGCGTGCACACCGCCCGGGCGCTCCTCAGCAAACGTCTGCCGCTGACGGTGCGGCTGGTGCACGGCCAGCCGCCGCGGGGTCTCAAGTCCTCCTCCCAGTTCGTCCCCGAGCTCAGGCTGCTCTCCACCTTCGAGGAGGAGCACGTGTTCGCGCTGCCGTTACAGCGCGAGGGCGCGGCGGTCGCGCTGCCGCTCGCGGCCCCCCTCAAGCTGGTGAAGGCGCGCAACGAGGAGGTCCTGCGGGCCATGCAGGAGTTCACCAGGCTGGTGGAGCGCGCCTCCCGGCTGGTCGCCGACGTCGCGGATCGCGCCCACGTGCTGGACGGCCGTCTGGGCGAGAGCAAACCCCCCCGACGGAGCGGCTCCGGCGGCTTCCTCAGGCGGCCCTCGACCAACTCGGAGCACGCGCCGCCGGCCGTCGCTCATCACAGGAACGCCGCCGGGCATCATCATCATCATCATCACTATCACAGCAACGGCCACCAGAGCGGCCACATAGCGGGTTACCGGGACGAGAACCGGGTGCCGCCGTCCGCCTGCACCGAGGACTACGACGAGATCGATCAGATCTACGACTACGTGCGCGGCTTCGCGCCGCTGCCGAAGAGCGTGAGGTCGCCGTACGAGAGCCCGTTGCCCGGCGGACAGACGCCGCCGCCGCTCACGCCGGTCACGGTGACGATCGCGCCGCTCCTGGACGACCGGCCGGAGCCGCCGCCGATCGAGACGATACCGACGAAGAAGATCCAGGCGGAGAAGCGGACGAGGCGCGCGGTCAAGGAGGCGCCCCAGCAGCCGGCCTCGAGGGTCGAGAAGCCGCCGTTGGCGAAGCTCTACGTGAAGAACAGCGGCACGCAGCGCGGACGGCCGCTAATGAGGCAGAAGAGCGCGTCGCCGCTGAAGGAGACGCCGCCGGGTTACAAGGGCGGCTCGCCGCTCTTCAACATCAGATACAAGAGCCTCACGAATCTCCAGCAGGCGATGGAGCTCGACGGCACGCTCGACTCCAGCCACTCCGGCGGCAGGACGTCCGGGGACTCCGGCGCGGGCGCTAAGCTGCCGGAAAAGAGGTCAGTTTCCTTCTCTCGAAATACCTTCGGTGATAACGGTTTCTCCATTCAAACTGATAGACGAATTCCGGACATTCAGCCAGTTTCTGACCAACCACTGATCATCATTTCTGCTAACCAGCTGCTTTTTAGCTAGTTTTCTTGCCTGGAAACTTACGGGTTTCGGGTATGACTTCGTCAGAAACTGGACAGGTTCTGAACTGAAACTATCGAGAAACTAGCCGAATTAAATAGTACACGTAATAATATATATTTATTCATTTAAAATTTATTATATTTGCTCGTAATCATATTTATTCGTTAATTTGAAATACATTAACGTGAACTTTATTAATTTCTTTCATACAAGTTGAGATAATTCATCAATTTCACAAAATTATCTTACGGGCCGCTTGTGTCGAATTACCCCGGAGGAGTGATTTCAATCTCCGAAGAAAGACACGCGCGGGAACGGCGAAGAAACACTCATACTCTCAGATGTTCCGCAATATATCCGAAACTCCTCGGAATCGGTTGCGTTTTCCCTATCAGTCGCAAAAATCAAAGAAATCGCACCATTCTCGCGTATCCGTTGCCAACGATCGCACGGAGATGGAACGATGATTGATCGTCTCTTACCGATGTCGTTTGCGGATATCTAGATCGAGACGTTTAAGCAGGCCGCGATCGCTGACGAATTTAGTCTGGGAGCTTCGAGGTGGAAGCGGCCTCGGCTGCACGAGACCGGAAACTCCGCCGCCCGCCACGACAGCACCACTGCCACCGACTAAATGCGGGCCACGTCTGGCTGTCACTGTCGTGGCACCCCGACGTGTCGGCACGCTCTACCTCTAACTCGTGAGTACCATATTTTCTGTCTCCTCTTTCCGGCAGTTCTACAGGTAAACGCGCCGTTCGACGTTTTTTTTTACATTAACCTTCCCAACGAAATTACGTCAAGATTTTTCACATTTTATACTTTCAAATAAAAAGATACATCTGCAAAACGACATTTGATCAGCACACTTGTATAATCGAACGAGCACCACTCCCCTTTTACTCGAATCGATCAATCAGCGGTCGGAAAATTCACTCGACGCGGACACTTTCTTTCCCAGCTTCTTTTCTCGTAATTTTGTCAATGTCAATCCTACGACTGCTTATTGATCGTTCGAGTGAGAGAAAAGTGCTCGTCCAATTTTCCATCGCAAATCTCGCGGATGCGTTTTTTTTTTCTTTGAAAGTATCGCGCAAAGAAGTTTCGCGTAAACAAGTCACAGCGACCGCTCCATAATGCGGAATGGAAATTTCGACTTGGTCGCGCGAGAACGAAACACGCCGGTTGTTTCCCGAGCGCATCCTTCGCCGGTCCTCTTCTTCGTTTCCCCTATTTCACAGCCGCCACAGGATGATACTTGCCGTCGAGCGAGTGGCAGGACTATTTGTCGAACGGGCGGACACGCACGTCGCAATTAACTATGTTGAGGAAATACCGGTTACGACGTAGTTACGGCGTACTTTGTCCGGGAAGGAGGACGGAATCGTTAAATTCGCCGGATCGGCCCACAGGATAGGCGGGATGATCTTTTAACGGAGCACTTTACTGGCGCGTTATAAAAGACGCGTCAGCTGTGTATGCGTGTGCGCTCCTTCCCTATTGCCATAAGTCCTTATTCATTTAATCGTCCTGTTCCCTCTCTCCATAATCCTCCTCCTCCCCTCCGCCCGATGCTCGTAATGATGTCGAGGAAATGCACCTGTCTCGGATTCACGATTCAGGAAGTCCCGCGATTACCGCCAATTACGATCCGTGAAGAAATCCATTCTTATACGGCGTAATCGATTCGCATGCCGGACCCATGTAAGGTGCATTCGAGTTGCGCACGGAGGAAACAATGTATTTTCGCCGGAACAGCAAATGTTTGTCGATATAGTGACGGCGAAAAAAACATTTTTTGCTGTCTAAACAAATTGTTTTTTACTCTCACCATATTGACGAGCATTTGCTGTTTTAGCAAGATCTGTTTTCTCCGTGCGAAAAGACACGTTACGAGCTGCGGGACAATCTCGAGTCGAAATTCGGATGCTACTTTGACGCTTTCAGGAACAGTTTGCGTCTATTCAGACGATAGTCCAGTGGAAAGCAACATTTGTTGATTTACTTTCTAAATCTTTAATTCCGCACGGAGAACAAAAGTAATTTAGGGGGACCGCAAATAATACGCCGTCGTAGCGCTAAAAAATAAATGAATATACAGGGTTTCTTAAACACTATCCGACGTTTTGAGAATTAATTTCTGAGGTCTTTTTATGAAGAAAAATTCGCACGAACATACGACTGGTTTCATCATAAAACGAGCTCCAATAACAACTTCTGAGATATTGGACAGTACTTAAGGAACATCCTGTATTTATTACTTTTCTCCGTGTATACAGATTTAACTTTAACGCTATTTAGAGGCTGTAAATACCGTCGACATTTCGATTATGAAATTCATCTGAGTGTTCAAGATTGCCTCGCCGAAAAACTTGAATACTTCGTCGAAATACGAGTCAGAATGGGAGTAAGTAATTAAGTGATTCGAATTAAATCCATTTCGCCGTCTCAGCTACCACTGTGTCGTGGAATCAAAGATTTAACGTAGAGTCAAATCTTCTGTCTCGAACGAGAATCGTCGTCATCGACCTCCCTCCCTCTCGGGGGATGAGAAATCCGCGAAACCTGCCGCGTCGTCCTCGAGGTCACGACGACATCCTCGCGACACTTCGACGACGTCCGGCTCGCCGATATCGGGCCGTCGGAGACGAGGAACGCGGCGATCTCCCGCGGATCGTCCCGCTCTCCGTCCGCCGATGAAAATCGACAGCGACGAGAGATTGAAAGCGTTCCCTCGTCACGGGGGCTCTGCGGGCGACGAGGCGTTTACCGGAGGAAGTCGGGAATCACAAAGCTTCCTGCTGCGTACATCCGCAATCCAGCTGAGATACCGGTTGCTATTCCCAAGCCGTGGAAATTAGCGAGGTCCGCGTAGGTTAATCTGCCGTGGCCTAACTCTTCTCCCTCCCCTCCCCCCCCTCTTTCTCTCTTTCCCTCTCTTTCTCTCTCTCTCTCGCTCTCTTTCTGCGGGTGCTGTTTAGCGGGAGACTCAGCGGTTCGCCTCGCGAGAGGAGGACGGCTTGGAAGTTGAAGGCGAAGGAGAGAGAGAGAGAGTGAGAGAGAGAGAGAAGGAGAGAACGAGGAGATAGTTGAACGGCGGTGGACAGCCTCGGGGTATATAACGTCATCCTCGCTCGCTCGCGGTGCAACGCTATAATAGCCCTGGTTCGCCGCGGAGCGTCGCTCGTCGTGAGCGGAATTAAACGAGACCAGGTTCAACGGCTGGACAAACCGTGGCTTCCGGTCGTCGATGCCTTCCCTCCTCTCACCTCCTCACCGTTCCGCTCTCATCCTCCGCGTCCACCTACTCGATCGCGCATCACGGAGATTACGATTGTGCGTGCCGCGATTTCATCGTCGCCCGGCGCGAAGAAAGCGAACGGCTTCCGATTACGCGAATCGGACGACGATCGAACGTCCGCGCCGGTGCGAACCTGCAGGCAGGCCACGAAGATCGGCGTAATCTCCGCTGACATTTCCGAGCCGAAATTTCGACGCCAATTTCGGAAGATACTTCGCGCCTGCTTCGGACGGTCTGTTGATTAGTTGGAATCTACGCGGACGGCGCTACGCACGGCCAACTTCTCTCTTGAACTCCTGTAATATTTCGATGGATTCTACGAAATCTACGAATTTAATTTCAATGCTAAAATCCTACGGTAAACAAGCTGTCTCGACGCTGAAACCAAAATACGAGAACGGAAATTTCAGACACCATTCTAATCAAATTGGGAGCAAGTTGAAATTGAACCCATTTTGTTACTTTAGTTTCTAACGCGTCATGTGATTAAAGATTTAACAAAGGGTGAGGTTTAAGGTGGAACTTTGGACCCGGGTCGATCCCCGCGCGAAGCATCCGCGCGATTAGTTTTCCATTAGTCATCCGTGATTAACGTGAGAAACGAGTCGGCCGAGTGATCGATCGATCGATCGGAGAAACCGGACCGCGAAGGGACGGAGAGTCGCACGAGTGGGAAACGCGACAGTTTCGCGACGCGGGAAGCTCAAACCGGTCGCGACGACATATCTTAAGCGGGATCTACAATGAAAATTTCAGCTCTGAGCCTGAAAAAATTGACCGATCGGTTATTCTCCTCGTATTCGACTGACGTGATCGGTCAATTTCTTAAGGCTCGGAGCTCAAAGCACCTCGCGCGAATCCCCGCGGCTTCCGCTAATTTCGACCTCGTCATCTTCGCCGAAACGGAACTTGCCGTCGCTTCGGCCTCTTCTAAATCACTCCGCCGTCCGCTTGTCACTTGCGGCTACCCGCAGCTCGCGCCCATTTCCACGTACATTTTAATGCCGAAGCGCTCTAAACGCCGCGCGCTGAAAATTACCGGCTGTCTCCCCGAGAAACGAGGGTGCGCTCCGTCGTCGTAACCGTCTCCCTCGGCTGCGTTAATTAATTAACGCGGATCGAAAACACGGTCTTCTCCCTTCTCCCCCCTCCTCCCATCCCGTCCTTCTCAACCCTCTAGGAGGCGTCGGGATTCCAGGGGAATAAATGGCGCACGTTTACGTACGCTGCGTTAACCTTCCGTAGCCGGTTTTTGGGGTCGCCGATTACGAATCCAAGGTCCAAGATTGAAAATTTTTCTTAATTTGAGTTGGCGGAGGACCGAAATTGCAGCCGAATCACTTGGAATTTGGTCTAAATATGATTTTGTCTCATGCAGATTGTATCATTTCAATCCCTCTAATTCGTTTTCGCGATATCGCGTTTCATAATTTGCACTCGGGAGCTTTGGAAGCTACAAACACTGAGTTCGATCCACTATTGTGTACTCGACATTTCGAATTTGATCATTTTTCCATCTCGAGCCCAGATTCGTAATCAGCGACTCGAAAATCCCCCTGGGGTGTGATTTGAAGAGAATCGCTTCATTTGTTGCTATTTCGATCCGCCATATTGAACTGCCATCTTCGATTCTGCTAATCGTCTAATTCCGACATCAGACGTTGAAAGACCTCGTTAAACAAGTTTCAACACCGAAATTTTGGAAAAATCGCCGGGAAGTGTATTTTCTCCGGTAAGAAGACAGGCAATTTTCTTAATTTCGTTATTTACAACGCTTTTGCATCCAAGAAAATGTATATTTCCACGATCTTTAGCATTCACCCATCCGCGAGATACTAGAAAAATGAAAGAAGAACGGTCGGAGTGCGATGAAAATTTCATCGAGGAAAATCTGCGAGTAAAAAGGTGAGAAGCAAACATCCCAGCGTGCGTCTAAGGGTTAAGTCGCGGCCGATAATTAGAAACTAATCGGCGCCAAGTGGCGTTTTCACGTGGGGCTCGTCGGCAGTCCCGCCGGATAGAGAGAGCTAGCGAAGCGGCGGAGGGGGGGGGAGACTATTATCTCGAAAATTGCTGGGTGCGCGTCGCCCGCGGTACCCCCCTGGGTGCGCGTCCCTCGCGACGACGACGTTGATTAATATCAACAAATTCCTCCGCGCATTCGTGTATGATTACGCTCGTGGCGATACGCCGCGCGGCGATGTTGGTTAACGCTCGCGATCGGCCGGTGACGCGGCGAACCTGGTATTTACGGGGCGAGGATCCGCGCGCGGCGTCGTCGATATCACAAGCGGGCGTTTCATAATATTAAGGCCGATCCACATTCGAGGCGCGCTCCCGCTTCCGTCTCGGCTGCCTTCCTCGTTGCTGCCGGTGACTTTTTCGCGGGAATCCGCGACT